TATCGTGAATAGTGCCACAATGAACATACGTGTGCATGTGTCTTTATAGCAGCATGATTTATAATCCTTTGGGTATATACCCAGTAACGGGATGGTTGGGTCATATGGTACTTCTAGTTCTAGATCCTTGAGGAATCGCCATACTGTTTTCCATAATGGTTGAACTAGTTTACAATCCCACCAACAGTGTAAAAGTGTTCCTATTTCTCCACATCCTCTCCAGCACCTGTTGTTTCCTGACTTTTTAATGATTGCCATTCTAACTGGTATGAGATGGTATCTCATTGTGGTTTTGATTATTTTAATAGAATTTGGACCAGAGATGGAGATAATTTTTGAAGTTATCCTGTTTAGCACTGATTTTAAGTGTTGGCATCACAGATCCCATCCTTCAGAGATAACAACTCATAAATACTTGAGAGATGGCAATTCCTCAACCTCCCTTAATAAATAACTATGACATTAGGCTATCATATTTATAAGGGAAGTTTTCATATATCTTACTTAAATGTGTACTTATTTGTGGATGACTGTTGAGTGAATATTTGCTAAATCATACGCCACTATCAAGACAGACACTGTGAAAAGATACTGGAATAGGGCATTACAGAATCATACAGATATAGTCACTTAATACATGGCACTGAATGGATTTTATAACCAATGTTTGTGATTTTTAAAAAACCCAGGTCTTTTCTTTAAAGACCCAGTTTCTTTCTTGGCTGTGTGACTAAGCCAATTTATTAAAATGAAAATAATTCAGTACTTTGTAAACCCATACTGACATTAAGATGATTATTCATTACTACTATTTTTTTTTTAAATGCAAGAAAACTTTGGCATACTTTTATTTCATTAAAGAAAAGGAAAGTAATAGTATTATAATGATGCTTATTGGGATAATTTGCATTATAGCATAAAATAAGGTGGTATTTAAAGTATACAATAGACATTTAAATATTTTTCATTTTGCTTTAAGATATAAAATATAACCTAAACATTATTTGCATATATTGAAGTATCTGATGAGGTAGAACATTGCTTATTTTTTTAGTGTACCTTTTTTAGTCCATTTGTGTTGCTATAAAGGAATACTTATGGCTGGATAATTTATAAAGAAAATAAGTATATTTGTCTCACAGCTCTACAGGCTGTACAAGAAGCATGTTGCCAGCATCTGCTTCTGGTGAGGGGCGGAGAGTACTTCCACTCATGGCCAAAGGTGAAGGCCATGTGCAGAGATCATATGGTGAGAAAGGAAGCAAGAGAAGAGGGGTGATGCCAAGTTCTTTTTTTTACAACCAGTTGTTGTGGGAAATAATAAAGCAAGAACTCATTCATTACCTTTGGTAACAAGCCATTCATAAGCGGTTTGCCTTCACGACCCAAACAAACCCCATTAGGCTCCATCTCCAACATGGGGGATCAAATTTCATAATGAGGTTTGGAGTGTCAAATATTCAAACTATAGCAGTACCCGGATTGTTCAAATCCTTGAAAGTTATAGAGAAGTGGTGGTGCAAATTTTTGAACATGAATCTCAGAAGTTTCAAAGAAGGTGGCAGTTGAAATGTCAGTTATTGTTCTCCATTTCAAATGCATTGAAATGTATTTCTACCGGTTCAGGCTACTCTGTAAATATCAATGGGAACAACAGCAATGAGGTGGTGGAAACAAAGTGACCACAGGATAGAAGGCAATGGCCCAGTGTACGGGACCCTGAATCAAGAATGATCATCAAAAGGGATCACACAGCCATTACAAGGACATGTTCTGCTTTAGCTTTCCTGGAAGCAGTTTGCGTCTTAAGGAGATATCTGTCCAGGTTGACCTAAGAGCTTCAACATTAAGAATCATGGTCAATTTAGACTAAAAGGATTTTGCATTGACATAATTTACACCTTTAAGAACCTCTGTAACCCAGCCATTATCTTTTTCATTCCAAATACAGAGATGAGAGGAGCACTAGAGATACAGGAAAGGAGTGCATTTAGATAATTTATTTGGCAAAACCAGTAGCTCATTAGATTTCACAATCAGCAATTGAAAAATCTCTTGGCATCAAGGGAAAAACAGGAATGGAAATTCTTGAGAGACCTATGCTTCCTGCTTACCAGAGAAGGTGAAAACTTTATTGTTGTCTTTTTCTTTTGCTGACAGCTTTATTAATATTTTAATTCAGATATCATAAAATCCACCAATTTAAAGGGTACAATTCAATGGTTTTTAGCATAATCACAGAGTAGTTCAATCATCACCATAATCAATTTTAGAACATTTTCAACACTGTATCTATTAACAGTCACTCTCCATTCTGACCCACTCCTCATTTTCAGGTAATCATTGATCAACTTTTTGTCTTACAGATGTGCCTGTTATGAAAATTTTATACAAATGAAATAATATAACACGTATTCTTTTTGTGACTGACTTATTTCACTTAGCATAATATCTTCAAAGTTCATACCTGTTGTAGCATGTTTCAGTACCTCATTACCTTTCATTGATGAGTAATATTATATTATTACAGATAGGCAACATTTTGTTTATTCCTTCATCTGCAGATGGATATTTGACTTGTTTCCACTTTTGTACCATTATAAATAATTCTTTTATGAACTTTCTTTGTTCAAACTATTATGTAGATGCACGTCTTCATTTCTCTTGTATATGAGCAGAATGCTCACTTATGCAGTAACTCTGTTTACCATTTGGAGAAAACGTCAATTCTCCAAAGGGTACTCATATGGTTTCAATCTGTGTCCTTGCCCAAATCTCCTGTCAAATTGTCACCAATGTAGGAGATAGGACCTGCTGGAAGGTGATTGGCTCATGGGGGCAGTTTGTCATGAATGGTTTAGCACCACCCGCCTTGTTGCTGCTCTCTTGATAGAGGTTAGGAGATCTGCTTGTTTAAAAGTGTGTGGCACTTCCCCTCCCTCTCTCTTCCTCCTGCTCAGCCCATGTGAAGCGCTGACTCCCCGATTTGCCTTCCATCATGACTGTAAGTTTCCTGAGGCTTCCCCAGAAGCAGAACTGGTGCCAGCATCATGTTTCCTGTACAGCCTGCAGAACTGTGAGGCAATTCAACCTCTTTTCATTACAAAATACTCAGTCTCAAGCGTTTCTTTATAGCAGTGCAAAAAGGAACTCATACATGCACATTTTACATGGCCACATAAATTTATGCTGATTTCACCGTCTCCACACTCTTAGTCATACTTGTTTTTGCCTTTCTTTTTTCACTATAGACACAAAGTATGTATGAAGTCAAATCTCTTTATAGTTTTAAATTGCATTTCTCTAATGACCAATGATCAGTGATCACGATCATACTTCCATGTGCTTGTTGGCTATTCACATATCTTTTTTTAAAGTAACGTCTATTCAAATATTTTGCCCATTTTTAATTAGATTGTTTCTCTTTATTAAGTTGTAACAGTTCTTCATGTATTCTCGAGACATGTTTCACACCATATACATAATTTTAAAATGTTTTCTCTCGCTGTGGTTGTTTTTCACTTTAGGATGGTGCTCCTTGAAATACATTTTTAAAAATTGATGAGACCCAATTTGTCAATGTTATCATTAATCCTTTGTGCATTTTGTGTCATATCTCAAAATGTACTGACTAATCCAAATAATGAAGATTTATTTCTGTGTTTTCTTCTATGTGGAATGTAGTTTTATCTCATATATTGCAGTTTATGATCCACTTTGAGTTCATTTTTGTGCATGATGTGAGATAAAAATTCAAATTCATTCTCTTGCTCGTTGTCCCAGTTTCATTTGTTGAAACATAGTTGTTTCCTGATTGGACTATCTTGGCCCCTTTTTGAAAACCAATTGACCATAAACACTAGACTTATTTCTGGATTCTTAAGTCTGTCCCGGTGGCTTATATGTCTATGTTTATGTTAATATTACACAGCCTTGATTAAAGTTTTTCTTTAACATTTTTATTTTGTTTAATGATGATTGTAAATTGTAGCTAATTTTTGATTTCTACATCGCTATGGGATAAAAATGAAAACCGTTAAGCTTTTTTATTTTTCAAATAGAAGTTTACCTATCTGTGGAAAATACTGTCCTTGTCTATAGTTTCCCAGCATTACTAACTTATGTTTGTATAATTCTATTCAATGTGAAATTTCAGGTATTTCTGAGAAGACTAATTGACCAACACATGGTTCTCTTGTTTTGGAATTTTGCCCCACATGTTCCTGAGTCTGACGTGGCAATGTATTCATTTGTCAAAGTTTTAACTTTATAATCCTTGGCCAAGTTTACATTTCTATTCTTTCAGAAAGTAAAACTATTCATAAGTACACAGGAAATATCAGAGGAGAGCCAAGCTCTTTAGAAACCAGCCACATGTGACAACAGAACAGCTACCTTGCTATTGCAAATGGGAAGCAAATGATCTCTCTGAAGCCCTAAATGCCTCCTTTTAATGTCTGCTCCCAGTTTTCTCAATAGTTATCATTAGCAATATCTCAGATGTATTCAGAGAGATAAGTAGAATGACACTGATCTAGACCTCAAAGAAGTTTGGCATGAACATGTATTTTATTTCATTTTGCTTTTTTTCTTAAATTTATCTATGTTAATCTGAAATTGAAGGATGTGTTTGTAACACATCTTGCCTGCAAGACTCCCTTTGAATACACGGTTTAGTGCTAAGTAACCCTTTGCAGTAATGTCCTTGTCATTATTAGTAGCTGACAACTTTAAAAGGATCTAATTAATCCCAGTTATGCCTTCCAATGAAATGTTTCCACCTCAGTAGAGTTTACCTAGTAAAAATGTTAAAAATAAACAGTCTCCTGGGTAAGATTTCTGGGCTCAGAATTATCCTCTGAGCTACCATTAACATTCATAGAAAACAAAAAGGGAAGTACAACTACACACAGTTGAAAGCCTCTAATTAGAAGTCTGTTCTCCTGCTAACAGTACGTTGCTGTACATTTTTTTAGAGTAGGAAATCATTTTTTACTTACGTTTCTGAAAGATTAAAAACTCTCTGAGGATCTCCATTCTCAATGGCATATGTTATTGGGTCTCCCTCTCGATCAGTTGCCTTCAGAGAGAAAACATAATTCAATTATCAAGTAATTGATATGGCGCCCACTCATTACGGAGTAATACAAAAGCTTGAAACTAATAGCATAGAATGTCCATGACACTGTTAAAGAATAAAGATTAAAGCATGGCCTAATGGCAAAGTATAAAATTAAACATTAATATCTGATCCATTTCTGAATACATAATCCTGTCTGGTGTGGAAATAATCATTTTCCCAAGGTTTACCTATCTTATTAATTAATAAATTTATTTTATATGTCTGTTTATAATTTAAATAAAAGCTGCTGGCCGGGCGCAGTGGCTCAGCCTCTAATCCTAGCACTTTGGGAGGCCAAAGTGGGCAGACTACTTGATGTCAGGAGTTCAAGACTAGCCTGACCAACATGGTGAAATCCCATCTCTACTAAAAATACAAAAAGTTACCCAGGTACAGTGGTGCACACCTGTAATCCCAGCTACTCGGGAGGCTGAGGCAGGAGAATTGCTTGAACCCAGGAGGCAGACATTGCAATGAGCTGAGATCATGCCACTGCACTCCAGCCTGGGCAACAGAGCAAGACTTTGTCTCAAAAACAAAACAAAACAAAACAAAAAGGTGTTAAACTCTATATACATTTTTACAGTGTCGATAAAGTGTTTAACATATACTCTTTTCTTTTTCTGTTCAGAATATATCAAGATAATAATTCAAATCAGTTTAACTTTCTGGTTAAAAATCCTGAATTTATAGCCACAAAACATGACTTCAAAACTGGACTCCAATTGTCCTATGTGATTATTTCTGTGTACCCATTTCTAAAACAAGGACTGTATAACAATACAAGTGTTAATAGATCTTGAGAGGTTTAATTGAAATAATGTTTATCAAGGCACATAGACTAATATCTGGTACATTGTAAGCTTTCAATAAATATTAACCTTTTTGTTGGTTTTTCTTCCCTTCAACACCCAAGTCGGAGAAGAAAACATATAGTTTGACTTTTAGTTCCAAGTTTCTCTTGCCCAAAATAAAGATACTCAGTTTTATGGCACTGAGTTTTACCTTCAAAAACATTAAATCAGTTTTTTTTTCCAGTGAGTCATTTGATCCTCTTATAAAAGACATGGATAAAGAAAGAAATTTGGATGCTGTCAGAGAGTTGAAAGAAAGATCTGCCTAAGCATGATGCTACAAAGGGGGGAAATATCTGATAAAGGTCCAGATGTATTTTATTTTTAGGTGACTAGCCTGGCAGAAACAGCAGCCTCTCCACAGACAGGAACTGCCCTGGAGTTAGCAGGACCTGAGAGAGGAATAAGTATGTGAGTTTCTTTCAGTGACTAGATAATAACTGTCCCAGCCATAAGAGGCTGAGTGTGAAATTCCCTGTTCAGACAGGCAAGAACATATTGTTCTTAGTGGTAGATCAGCTGGCTTTGACATGGATTACACAGTACTGCTCATTGAATGTCTTTATCAGCTACCACACTGGATTAATGGTCAGAAGCCTCTATTGGACCACATAAACTACAAAATCAAGGGACAACTGAAAATAATATTTCAGTCAGTAAGAAACTACTGAATATTGGGCCAGGTTCTGTAAGAAAAGCTTTGCAAGATTATTTAATCTGTGTCTCATAAAAGTGATATACTTCCTTCACATGGCTCCTATGACAACATATTGTCCTGCTTTCAATCCTCATATTATCAACTGTAGTTCCTCATTTTCGTTTGCTGATTTCTCCTCATTTATAAGACTTATTTTGTATTGGATTGTTCCAAAGATTGGTCCTTGAACTTCACTTATTTACTCATCTCATTCAATAGTGTAGCTATAAATACTCTCTATCTGCTAAAGACGGTCATATCTCTAGGCTAGCCCTTTCCTCTGGATTTCAGATGTGTATCCAATTGCCTACATGGATTCACATTAGATGAATAATAACAAGCCTCTCCGATTTAAAAGGTTAAAAACCCCAAATCTAGATCTCCTCTCCATCTTGACATACCTCAAAAAATAAAAGATATTCAAACAATAACCTATTGTTTTCACTGCTTCATCATCTCAGTAAATACCTGAAACTCCATTCTCCTACTTTCTCGGGGCTCATAGCCACACTTTGAGCACTCACTCTTACTCTCCAATGCAACCCGTCAGCAGATCCCACCAGATTTATCTAAAATATCTGCTGTATCTGGCTCTGTCCGAATTTCTTCTCTACCACCATCTTCCTCATGGATTATGATAGTAACCATTTTACTAAAGTGTAGCTTCTTCCCTTATATCCTCACAATAGTCAATTTTTAATTAAGCAAACAAAAGTACTTGTTTTTCCAGGCCAATCTTTTATTTCTTTGGGATAAAGTCTATTGCTTTTTCCCCCAGCTCCCCACCCTCCCCGTGCCACACACACCAAAATAAAATGGAATAAAAAGAGTAAATGAAGAAGAAAGTAATAAATTAGCTAGGGTAAAATACTTTTTAAACATTCCATGTCAGCCAAAATCCAAAATTTTAGATTTCATTGAGTTGGTCATAATGGAAGCCTAAGAGTAGAAAATAAGAAGCAAAGAAATTTTTAAGAATGCACTCAATAAAATGGATAGTAGATGCTTGGTATTTTTCCTTGCATTCTGTTATTTGCTAGATAGGAACCACAAATAATGATACTCAGCTAACATTTTGAAGAAACAGAGAATTATATCTGGAGACTATATTTTAACCCTAAAAAGTTTACACTGAACTTTTTCTGTTGTTTTTCTCTTGGTCAATAAATTTTACTTGTTATGTTGTTATAGATATGATCAAGTTCTTTTTGTTTGTTTATTGCTATGTTGTTGCTGTTTAAATTTTTTTCTTGAGAAATATTGTATAATCTTGTGTTTCATAAAAGCCAGAAGAAATGCATTCTGAAACAAGATACCTTCACGTAAACAATTTTAAGTCCAGATTAATATTGAATCTTTTATTATATCAGATCTACTCTAATATATAATATCCTTTATGTAAGATGAGAGCACTGTGAGTATTGTGGTTTTTATTTGTATTTCATTATTTTTATGTTAATTCCTTTCTACCCCAGAGGTAGTTTGAAATATTTCTTCAGTTTTATTTTGACCACTCAAATACCTCGGTCTTTTAAGGATTGTCAATGTCAGTAATTTGCCTACTTCATTCTTACGTAAAGTTGTGCCCATTTTGGAAACTTTGAAGACCTAGGATTTAAAAGGAAATTCTTATTTGATTTACTTCCTCATATTTATCTTTTCACACAATCCTTTATTGGTGTTCCAGGGTCTGGGGTGGTATAATAATTAGGAAGTATTTACAGTTTTTCAGCCAAGAAAGCAAAAGGAAATGGTATAACTTTCATCAAAGTTCTGCAATCTATCCATTACATGAGTTAGCACTTGTATAGACAATGTCATCTTTATCTGTCAATGTCCAAAGGTGAGAAATAATCCATAATAGGAAAAACTGGAAATATCAACAGAAGCATTTACTCTTCAAGTATTAGGATTTGATTATGTGTGTATATGTGCCCTAAATATATTTCTATTAGCAATATTTAAAGGTTTTTTATATATAAATCTAACCAGTCATCTCAAAATAACTGCTTAAAATATGTCAGAAACTATATTAACATTTTGCATGTCTTGTCTCATTTAAACCTAATAGTAACTTTACTGGTAAATAGAAAATGCATATGACTTCAATTATATCACTATTTCTGCCATCATTCCAACTAGATTTATCTGTACTTTACTTAATTGAAAGATGCATCTTTTTTATCTAGAGAGAGTAATAACTGTATCATCTTGAAAATGGGAGCATAGTGTTATTCAATATTTTCCATAATATACGAGATAGAAATTGCTTCTTCTTAGTGAACAAAACATTTTATGTGTTTATTTTTGATAAATCAAGTCATATCCAAATCTCTTCTTCAAAGCCTGAGAAAAGTAAGATAGCAGTTATCTTTCTGGGGCTTATTTTGAGTTTAATGGGGGAGATTCTGGAGCCAGCTACCTGGATTCAACCTCAGCTGTACCATCTCTTCTCAGATAATGCACTCAAGTACAAAATGAGAATAATAACACTATTATTTACAGTAATCACTCATGAATTCAACAAATATTTATCGAGCATCTACACTGTCTTAAACACTGAGGCTGCAGCGGTAAACCACACAGACAAAACTCCTGCCCTTATACAACTTACATGGTAGTAGAGGAACATGAATTTAAAAATTAATTAGAATATTTTGTTTTCAGATATTTATACGTGTTGCTGAACTACAAAATATTTCACGAAGGACATATATGGAAAGCAGGGTGAGGATTTACACTTACAGAGAAGTGATCATGACAGACTTACTGAAAATGTGAAATTTTGGCAAATGCTTGTAAAAGGTGAAAGAGTAAGTCACGTGGGGAAGAACATTCCAGCAAGCGGTCAGAGCAAGTGATAAAGGTCATGAGGTGGAAACAGGCCTAGTGAGTTTCAAGAACAGCAAGGAGGTTGTCAGATCTGGAGGCAAGCATGTGGAAGAGGAGCTCCTCAGTCTACTTTGACCAGTTTAATATCTCTGGTTAAATGAATAAATGATGTGTATTTTGGATGGCTGGCAAGTAATGCACTTTAGCCACTGATTTGCTAATATATGGTTAATAACATGGTTAAGATTAAAGCAAGTCTTTCCTTTAATTTTAATTTAATTTTAATTTTGCCTGAAGAACAAATGATTCCTTTAAAAAATCAAAGAAATTACTCTTTCCAGTCTGCTCAACCAGATTACTTGCAGCATCTGACTTAAGAGTCCCTCATTTTTCAGAAGCACCAATAGGGAAGCAAAAGTATTTATCCAAGGAAGCAATGTTCTTAGACACTGGCAAATGGAAAATTTGAAAAAGAAAACAAATTTTCTCTAAACTAATATTCTGTTCATGTTAAAGATGAACACAGCCATCAAATACCATCTGGTAGAGTGCACTTTATGTGCACAGAATGATTC